CTCCTTCAGCCTCTCTCCATGTGTCTTCTCCGCAGGGATGTCTCGCAGGGAGTGAGCCTTGTCAGTAGAGAGTCTCCAAGGGAGTGAGCAGAGAGAGGACCCGCCTCCAAGGAGGAAAAACAGGAGTTCCCAGAATCCTCAGGAGAAAGCCACGCCCACAGAGGCCTCGTTGGCTATATCCCAATGGGCAGGCTAGACTCCACCCCTACACTCTTAATCCTCAAATTGACACCAGGTTATGTAACAACCACAGCGAGCGTGTCCCTTTTACTAATTCCTCTGGTGAGGGGCCATAGGTAAGGGTCTTATCCCTGTTTGGTGGTCATTAGCTGCCACCCAGGTGATGTCCCTGCTCTGTAGGGTGTTTCTGGCTGTGACCTTCACAGCCCCAAGCCTCCACACCCCAGTCCCCCACCATGTGCTCCCCCAGGGTTCACAGCTGTGACCCTCAGAACACAATCGCCCGGCTTCTCTTCCAAGGGACCTGGGTGTGAATCACAGACTTTTGGATCCTCAGTGAGCGCTTTGCTGTCTGTGCCACCCAGGGGTTCCATCAGCTCTCTAAGGGGAGGAAAGCTTTCAGAACCTTCCAGTAGGGCGGGCGACCGGGACTTGAGCCCCACCTGTGTCCATTCTAAGCTGAGGTGTGGCCTGTGGCCTGATGTCCCCACAGCCCCTCCTGAGGGTGATGGGCCCATTCCCCAGGGGAGGGGAGCACAGCCGTTTGGGGGAGGCCTCCTTCGGCCACCCCGCTGACCGGGCGTGGACCCAGGCCTGGCTGGGAGGGGATTACGTGGATGCCGTCTCAGGACCATCTGCCTTCAGTGATGTGAACAGAGTGTGTGGCTGATCTTTTGGGGATGCAGGTATGGGCCAGGGGGCTGTGCTGCTGGGCCAGACCTCCTGGGCCCTGTGGTCTCTGGTGAAGGAAGCTGATGCCCATTGTCCCCAGAGACACCCAGAGCCACACACGCATGTACACACACACACACATACACACACACACTCATACTGTCATACAGCACAATTTCCTCCCACACCCAGCCTGCATACGTACACAAACCATGCACACACACCACATATATGTATATCTCATACACATCATAAATGCACATGTACACATATACACACACTCACTCATCCACACGCCTACTGCACAGCACTCCCTCCACACCCAACCCACATACATACATGGCCCACATCCTGCCACATCTGCACATATACACACCTCGCATATACATACATGCACATTGTGTGTGTGCACACATACAGACATACATTCACACACATACCGCGTTTCCACACCCAGCCCACATGCATTACAAATACATAGACATACACCACACATGTATATACACACCACATTCACACACATCATTTACACAGACACACGCATGTACGTGTGCCACCAAGCTCACTGCCGTGGAGTCCTCGCCGGCTCACGGGCGACCCTATGGGGCAAATCGGCAATGGTGGGCTTGGTGGGAGCCTCTAGGTGGCGCAGACAGTTAAGCATTTGGCTGTTGTGAACACAAGGTCGTGGGTGGGAACCTGCCATGGGGTGCCTCAGCAGAAAGGTCTGGCTATCACTTTGCAAGGTCACAGCTCTGACCACCTCCGGGAGGTGCAGCTCTACACCGACACTGGGGGGCTCTGCCTGGGTCAGAGCTGAGCTGAGGCTGACGGTCAAGGGGTGGGGCAGCGGCTGGCTCATCCGGGGGAAACTCTTGTGTTTCTCTTTCCTGGCAGAGCGGGATGCCTTCGACACCCTCTTTGACCATGCCCCGGACAAGCTCAGCGTGATGAAGAAGGTAAGGGTGCTCCCGCGCTGGGTGTGTCGTGGGCTCTCCCCCCACAGAGAAGGAGGTGGGGCAAGGCTTGGAGACAGTTGCCATGTGGATTAAAATGTAATTATAGTCAGGAGCCATAACTGCCGTGCATAAAATTAGCACCTTTTAACTCACCGGCAGCTCGGAGCCCTGGGTGTCTTCCTGCCCACCCTCCTCTCGGCTGCTAAGTGAATTACCCAGCCGTCGCCAGCGTGGCAGTTAATTCCGACTCCAGGCTTCTTTTTTTTTCTCAGCGTGGAAATGTTTTTAAGCGTGTCAACCTGCTGGCTCTCGCCAGCCTCATTACCATGAAGCTGACTTCACAGCCTGCCCGTAAACACACGGGAACTCTGCCTTCAGAGTGGCTGCTGCTGCTACTTGTCCCAACAGGCCCCAGAGGGCCCACCCTCACCGGCCTGGGGCCTGGGATGCAGCCAGCTGGCCAGCTCGTGCCTGGAAGAGCAAGGTGACCCCAAGCCTCTGAGAGCAGGGACTTCTGGGACGGTGGATCAAGAAGACTTGTCCCCCACCCTCCCACCTCCCAAACACCAGGGAGCGAGACTCACCAGCACCTGAAGGTCCCTGCACCTTTGCAGGATGGTCTTTGAGACTGGAGGCCGCTCCTCCCTCCCTTTGTGGAGTCTGAGGTACATACCTGTGCATACCTGGCTCTGGGATGCCTTCCCTGGATGGATTTTTAATGTCACCACTTTTTGATCCTTGAATATACCAACCTGCAATGCTGTCTGCCCAGGTGTCAGGAGTGGGATCTTCCCCGGAGCCTGCTCTGGGCAGTGCGAGGGCTACTTCTGGGCACTTTGCAGGTGGTCCTTCTGGGGTGGTGGTCTTCCTGTGGCCCTCCTCTCACAATTGCACTGTTGGCATTTCCTTGGTGAGGGGCTCAGAGCATTGTCCCTGCCCAGCCCACTCTGGCCACACTCGCCCCAGGGACCTTGACAGACACATGGTCCCGCTTCTCTGTGCTGCCAGCCAACACACCCTCTGCACACGCTCCACCCGTCACCTGCGTGTTTCAGTTGCCTGTTGTGTGTTACATGTTTCACACGGTTTGTACGTGGCAGGCTTCACATCTCATGTTTCATGTGTAGGTTTCCATTTCCCATTCCCCATGACAAGCCACAGATCTCACGGGAATGTTTCTGTGTCATGCGCCAAACATGTCCTTGATGTTGCATGTTTTACACATGCTGCGCTTGCAAGGTCCACCTTTTGTGTTGCATGTTGCATGTCACATACTCCACACAGGTTGCATGTTGCCATTTCCACATGCATGTTTGAGCATCATGTTACATGCTTCACAGTATATGCCTCATAGACATTGCATATTGCAGATGTCACACATGCCTGTTGCATGCTTCACGTGGCATGCTTCCCCTGCGCTGACACACACAAGGTGTGCATCTGCGTGGCTACCTCTCACGGCAAGCCTCTATCATGTCTCAGCACCTCACAGTGCACTTGGCATGCAGTGGGCTCTCAGTACATTGGGGAGGCAGAGTAAGACCCTGGTGCCCTTTCCAGGAGTGAGGTAGAGCGGGAGACTCTTCATCTCCATGACAGTGGGTTTGACTGTGAGAGAGGCTGCCAGCGATGAGCTTAAACTGTTGCCCATGAGGAGAAGTAGTGCAGCCTGGTATGATGCATGAGCCAGGGCCCAGCACCACCCTCCCAACCCCCCGCTGCCCCAAAGCCCCACTGTGACGGGGAAGGATCTCTATTTACTGCAAACGCGTGGGCACGGCCCCAGGAGAGCTGTGCACACCCATGTTCTGAAAGCATTATTGCCATCAAGGGTTACAGCGCGGCGACGTTTCGAACCTTAATTATCTTCCCCTGCAATTGTCTCCTCCTGAAGGCATCGATCCGTCTTCCCCGAGATGGCGCAGGCAAGCACACTTCCATGTGCCCTGGTGAATAGATAGGTATATCTGCCGCACTGGCAGGATGGGTTTCTGCCCGGGGGCGAGGAGAGGACTTCCACTGAGTGATGGGAAGATGGAAAAAGAGTGGTACAGATGTCCACACGCCACGGCGCACAGAATGAATGCCCTGTCTTGTGCACGGTAGACCACGTCGACGTGGCGACTGGATGTTAGTACGTAGATACCTGCCTCCGTAAGAAGAGCGATGGGAGATCGTTTCCTGTGAAACCTGGTCCTTCCTTGGGCAAACAGCCTGCGGCAGACACGGTTCACCCAGCAGGGCTGAGGATCACAGCAACCTGCAGGGGCAGTTCCATCCTGTCCTCTAGGGGCGCTGTGAGTTGGCGTGGACTCCCTGGCCACGCCTCGCGGCTCAGCCGCCCCTGTGTCTTTTTGCCTCCCCAGTCTCTCATCACGTTCGTGAATAAGCACCTCAACAAGCTCAATTTGGAAGTGACTTCGCTAGAAAGCCAGGTACAGACGGCCGGGGTTCCCAGGGTCCTTTGGGCAATGCCTGCAGTCTGCTCTGCACTCTGGTGGCACAGTGGGGATCAGCGAGAGGCTGCTAGCCACAAGGTGGGCGGTTCAAACCCACCTGCCAACCCACAGGAGAGAGGTGAAGCTTTCTGCGTCCACAGAGTTACAGTCTCGGAAACCCATGGGCAGTTCTCTCTATCTTGCAGGGTCGCTGTGGGCTGGCACAGACTGCACGGCAGTGGGGATGGCATGGCGAGTTTAATTAAGACCTTGACTCATACATTTCAAAAGGGGGAGGTGGCACAAATGGTTAAGCATTTGATTACTAGTTGAAACATTGGCAGTTCAAACCCACCCAGAGGCACTTTGGTCCGTCCCAGCCTTGAGACTCCTTCCTGCAGAAGCTCTACCGTGTACTCATGGGGAGGGGGGGACCGGGGAGGGGGAGTACACGAGTCAGAATACATTTCGATGGACAACCCACACCTTCATGGATCCAAAGGTCAGCAGTTCAAGCCGACTCCACAAGATCAACTCTCACTGCCATCGATCGAGTGGATGCTGACTCATAGCGATCCTACAGGACAGGGTAGCAGGGTAGAATTGCCCCTGTGGCTTTCTGAGACTGTCACTCTTTAAGGGAGTAGAAAGCCTCGTCTTTCTACTATGGAGC